CCAGAAAACAGGAGACCTAGGATTTCCCTCAGCTTTGCCACTAGTGTGCTGTGCAATTCCCTAAGCCCCAGTCTCCATTCCCTGCCCCATCTGGGTGGCTGTGTCTGTTCCTCTCCATACCTTTCTCTCCCCTCACCCTGCCTTTGCAGCCTCTCACAACTGCTGCTGTCAGCAGATGTCACTGACTTCGAGGCATCTCCCCAGTCCCTAGTGCTGCACACACTCCAGCAGTGTTTGCTCTGAGCAGCTGTTTGCCTAAGCAGGGGCGTTCCTGCCAACATGTCAGCCTCACCTCTATTTTCCAGCAGGCTGGCAAAGGGCAGTGGGGGATCCTTGTGTTTTTTTGTGGCTTCCCAAGTTCTAAATGAAAGACTTAATAAGCAAGATCAGAAAGATGGTCCTGAACATGTCGAGCCACTTCAGAGCAACTACTTTCATGGCCCACATTTGCAGCAGTTAATATTAAGCACAAAGATGACCCCCATTCATTTATAGAGAGGAAGTCCTTGTAAAGTGTGTTCTGTCACTTGGCCCATCAGGATGCAAACACACCTTGCTAAACAGCTTTGCAGACATTTCAAAGTCCCTTTCTCCGTTCTTGCCCCATTTCTCAAGTGATTTTGAGTTTCAGATGCATGAGAGCAGAGAGGAGCAGGGACAGCCCAGCTGCATTTTGCTGCAGCCACTTGATTGCCTACTTTAATGAGAAAATTTTCATTGCTTAAAAAAAAAAAACACAACCAAAAAACCAAAACAAAACAGTTTGTGACCAGAGGATGAGAACTACTCCCATTTTATTGCAGAACCAGGTGTGCTGAGCACAGGATCCCCAGTTCAGCTGCACACACATACACAGGTATATTCTGGAAGCCAAGCACATGCCCCTTGCAGCCACATACTTTGCTGCATCAGGACCCTCATTACATCTGCTTTGCAATTATTTTCTAAATTGGAAAACTATTTCCTTCAGCTGTTGGGAAGAACTAGTTATTAGAATTCATGGCTCAGACCCATCCCAAGCGCACCCCTTCGCCGTGGGTCCCTGGGGCTGCCGCCCCCAGCCCCGCCGGGCGCGGAGCTCCGGCCTCGCCTCCCACAGGAGGGCACCAGCAAGCCGCGGGGATGCTGCGGGGATGCCGCGGGGATGCCGCGGGGATGCCGCGGGGATGCCGCGGGGATGCCGCGGGGATGCCGCGGGGATGCCGCGGGGATGCCGCGGGGATGCCGCGGGGATGCCGCGGGGATGCCGCGGGGATGCCGCGGGGATGCCGCGGGGATGCCGCGGGGATGCCGCGGGGATGCCGCGGGGATGCCGCGGGGATGCCGCGGGGATGCCGCGGGGATGCCGCGGGGATGCCGCGGGGATGCCGCGGGGATGCCGCGGGGATGCCGCGGGGATGCCGCGGGGATGCCGCGGGGATGCCGCGGGGATGCCGCGGGGATGCCGCGGGGATGCCGCGGGGATGCCGCGGGGATGCCGCGGGGATGCCGCGGGGATGCCGCGGGGATGCCGCGGGGATGCCGCGGGGATGCCGCGGGGATGCCGCGGGGATGCCGCGGGGATGCCGCGGGGATGCCGCGGGGATGCCGCGGGGATGCCGCGGGGATGCCGCGGGGATGCCGCGGGGATGCCGCGGGGATGCCGCGGGGATGCCGCGGGGATGCCGCGGGGATGCCGCGGGGATGCCGCGGGGATGCCGCGGGGATGCCGCGGGGATGCCGCGGGGATGCCGCGGGGATGCCGCGGGGATGCCGCGGGGATGCCGCGGGGATGCCGCGGGGATGCCGCGGGGATGCCGCGGGGATGCCGCGGGGATGCCGCGGGGATGCCGCGGGGATGCCGCGGGGATGCCGCGGGGATGCCGCGGGGATGCCGCGGGGATGCCGCGGGGATGCCGCGGGGATGCCGCGGGGATGCCGCGGGGATGCCGCGGGGATGCCGCGGGGATGCCGCGGGGATGCCGCGGGGATGCCGCGGGGATGCCGCGGGGATGCCGCGGGGATGCCGCGGGGATGCCGCGGGGATGCCGCGGGGATGCCGCGGGGATGCCGCGGGGATGCCGCGGGGATGCCGCGGGGATGCCGCGGGGATGCCGCGGGGATGCCGCGGGGATGCCGCGGGGATGCCGCGGGGATGCCGCGGGGATGCCGCGGGGATGCCGCGGGGATGCCGCGGGGATGCTGCCGGCCGCCCGCCCCTCCCCTCTAACACCTCCTCCCTCCCCTCCTGACCCAGGTGTTTCGGGCCCCTGCCACTCTTTAACCCCCTCCTGGCCAGTGCGCGGTCAGCAGTTCCCATCACGTGCCAGCACAGCTTTTATGGTAAGGAAGAGGAAAGCAATGTACCTTCTGAGAATGAAAGCACCTTCACACGGGTAAAATCACAGCATTAGTTAACCTTGATAAGCCAGGACTCCCCCCGCATCAGCTCCTGCATCTCCTTCCCTGTGCTGCAGGTCCCAGTTTTAAATTCTGCCCAGGAGGCCTCAGGAGATAATAAATAAATACCTGCAAGGTGCATAAGGTCTCTTCCTAGAGCCTGAGCACACCAGATGTTATTACTGCTGAGCAGGTGTCAAATGTTTCAGGCCCTCCCAAAAATCTTTATACAAGCTTTTGTATTGCCTGTCACAGGAAGATGCCACAAGGAGACGTGAGTCCTCTGAAAAGAGGGGGAAAGGCACCCAGATCAAACAGGCTGACAAATGCAGGCACTGACAGCAATTGCTGGATTATAGTTTTTTAACCTTATGTTTCACATCTGGTTTGTCATGGCTGTTGTAGGTGGGCTTGGTGATGGCAAATTAGGATAGCAAACCTACATTTACCATGATCCTTTCATCCCCTAGGATCTCAAAGCACATTATTTAATTGTACTCAACCTGCACATAGATTTCATAAATAAAGGAATTTTTAATTAGCACAGCTGCTGCAGCATTCACACAAGTTACTAAGGCACAATCTCCTTGTGCAGTCAATCCAGCCTCATGCTTCAGTGTTTTGTCATAAATTGAGGTCAGGAAGAAATGTTCTCCCTAAGTGGAATGCAGAGCTACTAAACTAGCTGAGTACAGGAAGACAGTTAAGGGTGTAGTGATCTGTCTTCCCTGTGAAAAATCTCGGAAATCATTGCAAATATTCATTTGATGGAGCTCCCGTGCAGTAGATGAGCACTGATCCTGCACAGGAACAGGAGGAATGTGATATAGGGGAGAGATTATCTGCTTCACATTAAGGAGGAAGAAAGCCTGGGTGACCACTTTGACCTTAAAATTGGTATCTCATTACTCCCTTTGTCCAGCAAGGGAAACGGAGGAGGTCAGAGTTCTTGCCATGCCCATGACAGTCAGTGGGTCTAGTCTAGAAGCCCTTCCTTAGCCCATTCCAGTCCCTGCTGTTCACTCTCTCCATCAGGTTCAGCCTCTGTTTTGTATGCAGAGGGATTGAAATACTGCTTCTGGAAATAAATCAGCCCAGGAGCCTCCTCATGGTCAGGGGGTCAGTGGATTCCCCTGGACCTCCTAACCATGTTGCAAATTCAAACTTCCTGGTTATCTGCCACCAAGTGCCTCTGAGGCACCACGTGGACCAAAACCTTTCTCTGGAGCTTGGTGCTGTCCCAGCCCCAACCCTGGAGCAGGCAATTTCAGGCATCCTTGCCATGTGCTTCATCGTGCCTCAGCTGTAAAATCTCTTTTCTGCTTGCTGCAAGGAGTGTGAACTGTTCCTTGCACTTCAGCTGTTAAAAAGGATGCTAATTACCCCTAATCAGTCTGCAGCACAAACACAGACCACAGCAGCCACCACGAGGAATGGAACCCAATTATTCCAAGTCACTGATAAAACGGGTTCAAAGAGGGTGGAAATGTTTTACCAGCTCTTCCTTGGAGAAGGGCCCTTCCCACCCACAGGTCATCCCTGTCTTGGACCTGCATACACCCATGGAGCAATTTCTTATTTTTATTCTTGATATAGGTGGGGAATTTGGGATGAGGTTCAGTTTTGGCTCAAGACGGTTTTCCTGGGAAAAGAGCACAGTAATGTGGGGATATGGTGTAGAACAGGCGCTTTGCCCACTGCCCCACGCAGGAGCTGAGCCGCTGGGTGCAGAACCAGCTGGTTTCCTCTTCACAGCCAGGCAGACATTGCTGCAATGGGTACTGCGGGGACGGCTGCAGGAAACAGCTCCATTACAGGGTGCAGAGACAGCTTCAAATTATCCCTTGAGTAAGGTGACAGTAACTAAATTGGGAGCCTGCCTTGTATTTGCTGCCCAAACGCTGCAGCCTCGTGTCGATTCCCAGGAGTGTTTAAAGCAGCAGCTGTAATGCAGGGTTTTGCCTCTGCCACCTGCCCCCACACCGGGGCAGGGAAGAGGAGGCTGTGGGTGACTGCCAGGGCAGGATCAAATCAGTGGCTCAGTATCTGCCCCCAGCAGAGGCCAGCAGCAGACATTTCAAAGGACGATGTGAGAAATACGATAATGGAGGGAGGTGTGTGTACTGGGGGACATGCCTACGCCCCGTGGGATGCAGCCACTTGACTTCATGGCCACAGCACTGGTGTCACCAGTAAGGACGTTCTCCACCTGGACATGGCAGGGCCCGAGAGTCCATGCCCTGCAGCCTGGGAGGCCAGGGAGATGGTTGCCCACTGTGGCCTGGATAGTTGGTCTCGCCGTGGGGACCTGTCCTGCGTGGGGCAGCCCCATGGCTTGTCCCAGCCCTTCCTGCAGCAGAGAGATCTACGTGGCTGATAACAGTGGGAGAGGAGGAAACAGCCCGCATGTGAAAGAGAGACCACAGAGACAGATTGCTTATAAATCATTTCTGGGCCTGCCAAGCCCTTGCCTAGCGTCTGGTAGATTGCATTATGCTATCTGGAGAAAGTTTAATATAAAAAGCCAATAATTCCTGTGATAAGAGATGTGATAAGGGACAGTGTGGCCTTCGGTCCCACAGGAACTGGCCTGGCTGTGGCAGGGAGCTGGGGCCCAGCACCCAGCCTGCCCCACCATTTCTGGGAGAGGGAAGGGGCAGGAGAGGGTCTGCCATGGGTGGGAGATGGTGCCAGGGTGCCAGCCCCTGCCAGCCTCTACTCTGACCCTTGGGGTCCTGCTGGGATCCTGCCGGGTCTGAGTCACAGTCTCTGTGCAACCCATCACAGCAGTGAGAGGAGTGGGGAGAAAGTGACCTGCACTCAGGAGCACTTTTGTATGTGGTCAGCTTTAGGTTTTGGGAATTGAGAGTGGTCCTGAGGCTGGGGTGAGGAAAAAAACTTATCTATCTACCAAGGCCTGAAATGCTGCTGTACCTCTTTTATTTCTTCCTCTTTAATTCTAGGTAAAAGAGACAGTATTCTCAAGGTAGAAGCAGGATCTTGGAGCGTACATTTCCATTGCAATGACAGCATGACTTCCACCTTGTGTCCAGAGCTTCAGAGAAGAAAGTGTCTGTACAGCCTCTCCTTGAACCACTGGTGGAGTGGGATATAATATCTGAATAATTTACAAAGGCTCTTCATTAAACAGGTTTATTTTTGGCAGCTTTGTTAGACTGCTCCTTTTAGGAACGAATAAGAAGTTGCTCTGGTCTCATTAGGACATCCCTGTACGAACCCTTCCTGCTGGGGCTGGGGACTGGGACAGCCTATTGCTCCATTAGCAATGCTAAATATAAACTCCCAGTCCCTGGGTAATCAGGTTCCAGCACCAGTGGCCAGGCGACCTGGTGAGCAAGGATGTCCCTAGACACACGTCACGGGAAGTGGGAGCGATGGCAAGATCTTCCCTCCAGCCTCTGCAGGCAGGGGACCAGCATGGAGGCATGGGAGAGGTCCAGTCCTGCACTGGCTTTGAGCAGGACACTGCTCCTGCTTTCCAGATGGACAAGCCCGCAGGCTTGGGTGAGCTCAGGACATGGTGAGTGGCAACACTCAGTGTGGACAGGCCATGGTACAACCTGAGGGCAGATGTTAGGCCAGCAGGCATGTCATGAGATCACCAGGTACCCCGCAGCATCTTGTGGCCATGCTAAAAGTGGGCATGGCACCTTACTGCCTGGAGGGCAGATGCCAAGCAAGGTGCCACATGAGACATGGAAGTGGCTCCTCCAGCCCGTGTCCTGATGATTGCCTTGGCCTGAGGACCCCTTTGCCAGCCATGTATACCCAGTCCCTGTGTAGTGTCAGGCCCTCAACTAAGCTGTCAATGCAAGCAGCCAAGTCCCTGGCTGCTCTTTGTGGCACCTCAAAGGGGTGTCTGGCTCCCCCAGGAGCAGACACACTCCCTGGAAACCCACCTGCCAGCTCAGCCCAACCCAGTCCTGGGTAGCATACAAATGCTGGTTCTTGGAGAGCTCCTACCTAGGTGCTCTTTGCTCCCTTCCTACACTGGAAAAACCCTCCCTTCCTGAGCCAGGTCTGAGGTGGGCTGTGGGAATCCCCTCCTTTTAACAGGAAGCATTTAAGGCAGGTTTCTCCATGTGCTATTTTACTGCCATGCCCAGGCCATATTCACCCCAGCCAACACATGCAGGCCTACTGCTTGGGGAAGGTTATAATTCCCCCTTCTTCAGATGCAGATACATTGCCCAGCTGGAGACAGGCCCATTAAAGAGTCATTTACTAGGCACAAGTGAGTTTGTGTTCCCCTGGACTGGGATTTGCCAAGATTATACCATAAATTAGTGTGTTTCCTGGAAGAAAGTAAGGAGGGGAAAAAAAAAAAAAAAGATAAAATGGAACATTTTGTGGCCAACATAAAAGCCAATAAAGGAACATTTCATTTCCCGCTTGGAAGGGAGCGACTGTGACTCGTTGCAGGGAGGGGAGGGCAGTGCAGGGCAGCATGATCCAGGCTCTCGCCATGACCAAGGGAAGCTCGAGATGCACGTTTCTGTTGCCCCCACTGCAGGGGAGCTTGGCTGGGGCCAAAGTCACCAGCAAGTCCAAAGTCTCTGATTTTGAACAAGTGACTAGAAGTGGGGCATTTGCATGCTGCACGTTTCTTCTGTACTTAAAATAATAATCTCTATTATAGATGCCCAATTCCTACAACAGAGTGGAGACTAACACCTGCAAGGCTGGTCTGCTCTGTGCTGGGGGCCAGGGATGGTGAAGCTCTCAACCCAGACACTGCACATTTGAATCATCACTTAGCTGAAGGGCAAACCCTTCCACATCCATTGTCCATTCCTTTCTCCACATGGCAGCAAGGTGATGATCCAGTCAGGGAACATGGGACATGCTCCAGATGTGCTCCAGTGCCTCCCAATTAAGGCAGAGCTCAGCAGAGAAGGGGGACAGCAGTGACCTAGTCTGGTCTCCTGCACACCCCAATTACAAACTGCATCTCGTTACCCTGGTGCAAAGCCTAAGCTCAGGTGGCTCAGTTTCTCCACACGTAAAAAGGGATCCAGGATGCTGACCAGCTGGAGGGAGACACTACCCTGTTTTCCAACCCTTACTCTGCAGGGACATGAAGCCTCCCTGCACTATTAATAGTCCTTGGTGTGAAGCTCTCACAGTTTTCACTAATATGGAGATGTTGAAGTGAAAAAGCCACTGCACAATATGCAGGAGGTGTCACAATAACTCAGCTGCTATATTGTTCTCTTTAAAAATAAATACCACAACAGCCTAGCCCGCATTGCTGGAGTCATGACGTGTAGGGGTTTATTTTTAATCAGAAAATGCACTGATTTTTAAAGATAGGCACAGAGCAGCATCTGCAATTGATGAAAGCTCCCTGTGCACTCACACAGGCTGTATTCCTGCCTGCTATTCCCAGACTGGCTTCCAAGGACCTGATCCCACTTCAGCTCAGGCACATTTGTGTGTATGGCTTGCAAGAGGCCCCATGGCAACACAGTCCTTCCAGCACTGAAGTCTGTGGCTAAATTCCATACCTATCTGCTCTCTGTGGGGATGCAATCAATCCCCCAGGACACAAACTGCAGGATCTGCTCCTCAGGCAGCAGGTTTAGGACCTAGGTTTGCACCCAGAGCATAATTTCCCATTGTCTGGAGACAGAAGGTTTGTTTGGGGCCAATCGCAGGTGAATTCCCTTGCCTTTGCCTTCCCTCGTGCTCAGCCAAGGCAGGGTTGCAATAAAGCAAAACAAAATCGCTATGTAAACAAGCCCCGTTCTGCTTGGGGGAGGATGTGAGAAAAGAGCCACATCTGATGGCGCTCCCTGCACTGCCAGCACGGGTTGGACCCTGCAGTGTCACATCGGCTGCAAGAAACTGGAGCAGTGGCTTCACTAACAGCATAGCTTCCCTTTCCCTCCACCACCCTGTAGTAAGAATGCAACACCAGCAGCC